GGCAAAATCAGTGTCGATCTTAAGTTGTGGGTGATCTTAGTCAAGACAGAGAGTCAGATTTTGCCATATTTTAATTCTGGGTATTCGGTAACTTATGTCACGAGCTGGGATTTATTCTCCACTGGTATTAGCCGCTTTGTTAAGAAAACAGTTAGATAACCCAGTGATGAGCTGTAGCTCCTAGCTAAGGCGGTTAATCTGTTTATTTTGTAAATTAAATGTGTAAACCGAACGATCTTTTAATTGATTTCAACTGCTGCTTGCTTAATACATTCAAATTCATCTGTTAACTGGACACGATATACATTTTATTCTTATTTTTGATATCGTTTTAACCAGTCGTTTGTGAATAAATTATCCTTCGTCTACAGTTAACATAACTGTTTCATTCCCTTGTTATAATTAGCAATTAGCAGTTATTCCAGAGCCATAACAAATCACATGTACTATTAGCAATATCATTATCAAGTTACAAGATGCTTATTATAATAAGTAGGCTTCAAAATTTAGATTCGGAATCAAGCATGATCCATAAACGTACGTGTGTTTACTGACTATTCTATTTTGTTTTTCGTGTGGATTTAACTCAGAACTCTATAACTTCTGGCCCGATAATTTCATCTCTGTGCTTATAAGGTATGAGAACTTGAACCAATGTACGTTGTGGTGTGTGCTACTTATATTGACATAAGTAGTATATGATGTTGATGTTAGTCGTGAACAGAAGATCTGGCAGCAGGGAGACAAGAGGATCGAACAAAAAATAATGAAAAAAAGCAATTTGTATGAAAATGCAAGAACAATGAAATCTGAATCATTTTGAGACAATCGACGGACATTTTGCAAATTAAGCATTTACTCTATGATTGTTAGGTTTTATTAACAAGTCCTGTAATTTTATTTTAAATACATTCGATTGTCCCCACTGGTGTTCTTGTTCACTACACGTAAGTACAGGGTTCTACGTTATGACTAATGGTAACATGCGTCATTTGTTTTAGGTTAATTGATCTTAATTTTAACAGTTTAATTTTTTACGTGTAGGTGCCCAGTGTATTTTTGTGAAATATTTTTTCAATCTAGTCAAAAGCAAGGTAGTTTAACGCTTGTGTTGAATAGTTAGGTTTAAAAAGCTAAATACCACCAAAACTTCAGGGATTTAGGTTAAGGTCAACTAACATTCCCTGATTAGCGTAGACATCTCATCGAAATCATGACCCCACACACGGAAATGAAACCTAGGACCTTCGTTCTCGAGTGAGAACATGTGAACTTTAAACTGCTGACCTGGGAACCATCAGTGTTGTCTAACATCAATCAATACACGATAGATATTACAGAGGCAAGTAGATGTTACACAATGTGTACAGTTGTGTATTCAATCTGTTTGACACAGTGATAAAAAGTTAGGTAGAGTTTATAACCTCACGTCTTAAAAGTTATTTCTAAGACTGAGGAGATAGCCTACAGTTTTTGGTCGCTATGCACTTTATGGATTAGTAAAATAGCGTGTTCTAACAAAGACGAACCTGTTCTAATTCTTTACACCTGGGTTAATGGTTCGGTGAAAAGGGTTTACAACCCCATATTTTGATTTGCTTCTGATTAGCACTGCACTTAGTAACGCGATTGCTTACTCAGAGTTTTTGTCGCGGATCAGTAATATTCTAAAGGTATAAGTGGCCAAACGATTATAAACTGTGTACATCTTTAATTTTCACTTGTTATATTTTAAAGTTGTAAAACGGTTAACTGGTACGTAGTGTACTATCGTTAATATTCACAGAACGAACGAGATAAGTAAAAGAGAGATGAGCCATTTGTGATTTTCTTTAGAAACTTACTTTGCCACCAACCCAACAAAGTAAACAAAAGTTAGAGTAATGTTTCATCCTTTCATCTGAATCAATTTCCATTGTCAAACTAAAAAAATAGATCTGATAAATTTAAGTCAGTCAGTCAGTCAGTAACAACGTAGAACTTCGTACGTACGTACATCAGTTCGAGTTGCCACACCACATTAGCATAGAGATGCAGTGGTCGATTCAAATCCCGTAGTAGTAGAGGTAATAAGAGTATAAGCAGTAATCGGGAAGATTAGTGTTTGGAGATGTTACTTAAAGAGTATAATACAGTGAAATAAATTTGAGAGAAAAAAAAGAGACAAGGAGGGATGAGATCAAAATTTGGGAGAACACAAAGAGTGTATGCACCTGCGCCATTGCAAACGATTTTGAGCCATGTCATTCAGGGTCTCTAACCATCGGTTGCTATCATCTCGCCGTCCCCAACCAGGTAGTCTACACCTACCAACATGACTCAGACCACTTGTCAGTGACTTCATGGACTTGTGCCATGTTTTGGTCTGGCCGCCCCTAGCTTTCTTCCAACCTACTCCTATACCACTGAACATCGCACGTCGAGGCAGTCGGTCGTTGGGCATACGTAACACGTGTCCAAGCCATCTCAACTGATGAAGTTTCACTACTTCATCAATTGATTTGCCATCCTTACCTAGTACCCGTTTCCTAACAACTGCATTACTTACTCGATGGTCCCACGATATACGAGCAATATTTCGAAGACACCTATGATCAAATACTAGTAACCTACGAATATCCTCTACTCTTACCGGCCATGTTTCACTGCCATAAAGTAGGACGGAACGAACTGCTGCGCAGTAAACACGTCCTTTGGTTGATAGACGGATATCTCGCCTACGCCATAAATGACGCAAGTTGGTAAAAGCTAGTCGAGCCTTCTGTATCCGTGCTGAGATTTCGTCACACACCAGACCACAAGGGCTGATGAGACTTCCAAGATAAGTGAAGCGATCGACACGCTCAATTACTTCACTCCCTATCATTAGTTCGGGTGTCAATGCAACCCAATCCTGAAGCAACATTTTGCATTTCGAGGAGGAGAATCGCATCCCGAACATGCTTGCATTGTTGCTTAGAGTGGTCAGAAGACTCTGCATTTTGTCAGCGTCTTCACCAAATAAAACTATGTCATCAGCATATTCTAAGTCAACAAGTGAACCTCCCGGTAGAAGTTCAACCCCTGTAAATTTAGATGAGGAGAGTGTTATCTCTAAAAGTACGTCAATGACAAAGTTGAACAAGAATGGGGAGAGTGGACAGCCCTGACGAACACCACTTGAGGTAATCAATTCTGATGACAGTTCGCCATAAGCTCTCACTCTACCAGTTGTGTTCGAGTAGAGAGCCTTTATAAGGTTAATGTACTTCTTTGGTACTCCTTTCAGTGACAAACACTGCCATAGAACCTTACGATCAACAGAGTCGAATGCCGCCTTAAGGTCGAGAAATACTACCATTGTGGGGCGTCTGAATGTGTGTCTGTGTTCTAGAACCTGACGTAGTGTGAATATCTGATCTATACAACCACGTCCAGGTCGAAAACCAGCCTGATTTTCTCTAGTCTGCTCTTCACGAGCTTTAGTTAGGCGTCGAAGTATTATTGAAGCTAATATTTTAGACACTATATTAGTCAAACTGATTCCTCTGTGATTGTCACAAGAGGACTTTTGTCCTTTCTTAAAAACTGGCACAATCAGTGATTGAGACCAGTCAGATGGGATTACGTCCAGTTCCCAAATTCTACCTAAGACCTCAGTTAATCTCACTGCTAATACTGGACCACCATCCTTAAAAATCTCAGGAGTAAACCTGTCAGGGCCTGCTGCTCTCCCTCGCTTCAGATTTCCTATGGCTTTTTCAACTTCGTAAAGAGACGGAGGACCTACATTAACTTGCCATTCAGGTTGACTCGAGATCGTGGGAAACCGAAGTGTGGCTGAAGGGCAGTTGAATAAATTTAAGACCTGCCACCAGTGTGTCATTCAGTTTGCATTTAGCCGTAATAATTTTTTGTATTTGGGAAGTGAATATTATACACAGACTACCTATTTTTTACAGAGGGCTATTTTAACAGTTTCAGTGTTTAAAGATCTTGAGCCCAACACTAGGCCTCAGTTCCGAACTTCACTTGACTTGTTTAGGTTTAGTAAGCCGGATAGTATCACCAGATCTCATTAAATGTTACTCAAAATATTACACTTGAATTTGCACTTGGTTTATGAATCACATCACTATCTAATGCATCCATGTAGGAACTCAATCCATTCGTAACCAGGGAGTATTTCTTAATTGTGGAGTTATTGAGTATGCTTAATAACAACAACTTAACATAATTTTAGCTTTCCTTAATCTATGACAAGATGAGTTTTTAAATATAAGCTTTCAGTACTATACTATTACTAGTAAATATTCAACTTTAAACATAACCATGTAATCTATACACGTAAATATGCACCTAGATCTTAGCAGTATGTTTGCTGTAAAATTTGATAAACAACGTATGTAACTGGTAAGTCAACAACTAAAACTTTTGAGTTCTCGTTTGCTACTCACATGCAAGATATCCACCTATTCAATTAGTTAGTCATTCAGTTTTTGAAATGTTAATCATGCCTAGTATTACCGTCGGTTCCTTATTGATGTTAAAATCTGTCTCTATCTCTTTGGTCAATTGTAAGCTGATGAAAGAAACAAAGAGATTCAACTGACCATGGATTGTGTAAAGTTTCAGACTTAGGATAGATTTCTTTCGAAATATTTCATAGTGGTAGTCGAAAAGTTTTGACTCTTACTTTAAGATGAAATTATTTTCATGTATCTGAATTCTTGTTAGGTAGTCTGATGCTTTCATTTATTGGCAATGGTTGATTGTTTGACCGGAAACATTTCATGATGGAACTAGTTGGAGCGCATTCTCCTGTTACTCACATGTTACTTTTCAATTTTCAGCATACAGTTGGAGTTGTATGGTGTATTAGAAGATGAGTTTATTTGTACAAATCCAGTTTAATTGAAAAGCAAACTACAATAAATGCTATACATAATTCTAAACTATTTTCTACAAAATTTTCGTCAAATAAACAGCAGTTGGTCAATCCCAATGCCTGTCAAGACAGTATCATGAAACATGCCCTCAAGTTCCCATCCAGCCTACTATTCTAATCCAAATAGTGTATTACCCCAAGAATCCATATCAATGCAAACATATTACTATAAGAACAGTATCCCCGTATCCGGTTTGGGTCCAAACCCATCAACAGTGACTCCCCGTGCATCAGCGCTCCCTCAACAAACATCCCTAACTACAAATAATCATTTAGGTGTTCCTGGATCCGCCCGTTTATCATCCCAGTCACCTCATAATGGTCATCCATATGGGAATTTTCGAAATAGTCAGTCAAATGGTCTTCCTAATAACCAAGATGTAATGTCGGTTTCAATGCACGCCCCATCAAATTATTATTATTGGCCTTCTGGGACTACACCTGGACCTAACACTACGCCATACAACTACAGTGATGTTTCGTCACATACATATGCAACCCCTACACCAGTATCCAAACCAAACAATACAGCTGGTTATCTTAACCCTAATAAAAATGGTCTGACTAACAAAAATAATCCATCCAATCGGGTAGCTCAGCAGTTAAAGAATACGACATCTAATTCAAGTGGCAGGCCGTTATGGAAAGATCGTCCACATGTTGGGAAATATAGTTTAATCCAAACTATCGGTAAGGGAAACTTTGCAAAGGTCAAACTTGCCCAGCATTTGACAACCGGAATGAAGGTTAGTTCTTATATTTTCATTCGTTAATGACAGTAATGAGACTTTTAGATAAAAGGTATTATTATTGCTAACATGACAGTGTGATTTTTCTCTTAACGAATGTTCCTAGTTTTACCATTTCATCTGATTTTCTCGTATCATTTGCCTTAGTCACCAAAGATGATTAGTTATATATATGAAAAATGTGCTGCATAGAGAGCACTTAATTGTTTTCAAAGTAATTTTTGTCCCCCATCATTTTGTGAATAAGTTATTTAATGTAATACTCATGAAATTTGGTTAGTTGTTCATTTCCCTTTCTGTCTGTTCTGTTTGTGAGCGGCTGCTTCACTGTAGTGCGTCGTTGAAGTAATTTTTCACTAACTTTTAGTCAATTGGTTTCATCTCCATTTAAGTTATTCAAATACTAATCGCATTTTATACCATCTGACTTGGGGTATAGTGATTTGTTTCCAAGCAAACTGCTTGGAATTAATTGTGGTTTTCGGATCAAAATAAATTTATAATATCAAATTTGTTTGCTAATTTAAAACCTTTAGATTATTTTCTATTTACATCTTGTTATTTTGCCTGTGAGATTGGGTCAACTATCTGTGGAGTTTATAATTTTATGTAGTCGATTGATTTGATTCGTTTTACCACCTCTTACGCGAGGGACAATTGTCGTGAGTGTGGCTAATTTCTATAGTACTTTTTAGTGTTGATAGAACCAAATTATGCGTTAGAATTCTCCGATATCAGACTTATTCACGTAAGATCCTGTCAGTCTTACGTACAGTCCGGAAGCTAACATAATTCCTACCGCACTAAAATCAAATTTAAGACAACCTGTGGTGTACACTACTTATTTCTACAGGTATAAGTAGTATATATCAGAAGTTGAAACCCTGACAGTAGAAGGCTAAGAAGATCAAGTTGAATGGAAAACAGAAACGGAAATAGAAAGGAATTGTGACTCAGAAAAATCGTACAGTGTGAAGGAAAAATGATGGAATGTTGCAAATAAAGTATTCCCTCTATGGTTCTCATATTTCGCCAAGAGATTTTGTAATTTTGTACTAAAATACATTTGGTTGTCACCACCTGTGTTTTCGTTTATCACAAACCTACGCTTTATTGCGTCACCAAGTTAAATTTACAGGGAAACTTCCAACTGTTCAGTATCCATAGGACTTTTGAGCCGTTAGCATTGTCGACTTATTATCTCAGTGGTCAGGTTATTTTCTGATTATCAGAAATATGTCACTATGCATTTCAGCATCTTGGACTACTTTTGATCATTAGATAACATTATATGACACGGTTAATAGATATTAGTTTTTTAATACACTCATACGCTAAACAAAGATCTCAACACTGAATATGTCTTCAGACAAATGCTAATGAAACAATTCATCTTTGTGTTGTGTTCTAACTATGGGACACAGTACAGATAATTTTCTGCTTACATGAACGTCGTTTTTAAAAATTAACTGATTTCCAACTGTTATTCAGTTAGTCAAAAGCTAACCACTCACAGACTGAAAACTTTGTCCATTTCTGAACTTCGGAAGAGATAACGAATGGTGTCTAGATGTAGTAAATATCCGTGTTACTGTTTACATCTGTATTCAAAAGTAATCCACTCGATAATAAGTGGACGTAATCCCATCTGACTGGTCTCAATCACTGATTGCGCCAGTTTTTAAGAAAGGACAAAAGTCCTCTTGTGACAATCACAGAGGAATCAGTTTGACTAATATAGTGTCTAAAATATTAGCTTCAATAATACTTCGATGCCTAACTAAAGCTCGTGAAGAGCAGACTAGAGAAAATCAGGCTGGTTTTCGACCTGGACGTGGTTGTATAGATAAGATATTCACACTACGTCAGGGCCTACAACATAGACACACATTCAGACGTCCCACAATCGTAGTATTTCTCGACCTTAAGGCGGCATTCGTTTCTGTTGATCGTAAGGTTCTATGGCAGTGTTTGTCACTGAAAGGAGTACCAAAGAAGTACATTAACCTTATAAAGGCTCTCTACTCGAAAACAACTGGTAGAGTGAGAGCTTATGGCGAACTGTCATCAGAATTGATTACCTCAAGTGGTGTTCGTCAGGGCTGTCCACTCTCCCCATTCTTGTTCAACTTTGTCATTGACGTACTTTTAGAGATAACACTCTCCTCATCTAAATTTACAGGGGTTGAACTTCTACCGGGAGGTTCACTTGTTGACTTAGAATATGCTGATGACATAGTTTTATTTGGCGAAGACACTGACAAAATGCAGAGTCTTCTGACCACTCTAAGCAACAATGCAGGCATGTTCGGGATGCGATTCTCCTCCTCGAAATGCAAAATGTTGCTTCAGGATTGGGTTGCATTGACACCCGAACTAATGATAGGGAGTGAAGTAATTGAGCGTGTCGATCGCTTCACTTATCTTGGAAGTCTCATCAGCCCTTGTGGTCTGGTGTGTGACGAAATCTCAGCACGGATACAGAAGGCTCGACTAGCTTTTACCAACTTGCGTCATTTATGGCATAGGCGAGATATCCGTCTATCAACCAAAGGACGTGTTTACTGCGCACCAGTTCGTTCCGTCCTACTTTATGGCAGTGAAACATGGCCGGTAAGAGTAGAGGATATTCGTAGGTTACTAGTATTTGACCATAGGTGTCTTCGAAATATTGCTCGTATATCGTGGGACCATCGAGTAAGTAATGCAGTTGTTATATATTTAACTGCCTGCCCCTAGATTTTTTCACAACCTACTCCAATGCTAACCAGCTTCTGTTGCAGAAGGGAAACGTGTATTAGTTTTGACGAAATGAAACTGTTCTCTATGATATGTTGCTATCCTTACCTGGTTTACTCAGTTATTCTGCTGTTTTCTTTTTTCCTCATTATCATGATCCTCGTCTACAAAGGTTGCAGTCAAGGTAATCGACAAGACATTACTGAATCACTCAAGTCTACAGAAGGTAGGTAATTTTTCGATTGAGTTGTTCATGTTATTTAATGGAAAAGAGAGGCTATTAATTTAACAGCAGGTTTTATTGTCAGCTGAGCGGATTTTAAAGCTAAGAACTATTGAACAGTTGTTTTGTGTTGGGAAATTTTTTCATCCTATCTATTGGTATTGAAATTGTAATCACCATGACACTGATAATCATGGTTCTTGATTATGACTTAAACTGATTTGTGCTGTTGTATAACTTATTTAATTGATGTTTATAATGTTGTTGTACCGAACAGTATCAGGTTAATATGGAATAGCTGGCCAGTACTCTTTGGTTTCCAGTGATCTGTTGATGTTACTCTATTGCGGAGACTACCACTAAACTTACTGAAGATCTCTAATCAATAGACATGGGAAACATTTTAAAATGTATATTCACATATGTGTATAACTGTTCTATAAATGCTTCCATAACCACACTCTTCAGCCTATTTTCAAAACATCCTACACAGTAGTGGTTGATTTATAATTACTTTTGAGTATTATTGACTTTTCAGGAATGACTATCATTTTTTCATGGTAATCAACATAGATTATCTGTCTAAGTTATTTTTCTTCATTATTGTGTTAAATAGATATTATGTTAGCGCTGTTTCGCAAGTTCTTATCAATCCTATTCTAGACGGTTCTAGCTTCATTTCATAGATGGCAAGGGCTTCTGCTGTTTTGTTCACTCACTGTGAATAATGGTAGAACTGATTTGATTATCTTGAATTGACTTAACAAAAACTTTCCAATCTCTTGGAGTTGTATAATTTCAGTAAAATGTTTGATTATGAGTTTCCACTCGGTTTTTGTTTATATTTTTCCAATAATTGACAAGAATATCGATTATTTAAGTAAATACATTTATTCTGTTGCATCGTACCCGTTCAATGTAGTTATCTTTTTTCTTCGCCATACCCAAGAAGTTTATTCTCATCTGTTATTCAGGAATATCTATAATATTGGGTAAACCTATATATATATATATATATATATATATATATATATATATATATATATATATATATATATATATATATATATATATATATATATATATATATATATAGTATGTCATTAGGATAAATAAAAATCTTATATATCCACTTGTTTTGGTGTTCTTTAGTGTTTTCATCAAGCTAATTTTAACTGTCAGTAATTGATTAAAAATTTCATAGCTTTCTTTTGATCCCCATTCATGGCATAAATATGGTTTTAATAAAACTAGTAATATCATGCAAAATTTAAATAAATATAGCCATAGACAACAGCACATTTACATTGTCTTATTACTAGTGATATTGATCTGCTATCCATATCTATCCCTTTGCAATACCGATCAACATTTATGTTAACATTCCACATGATTGCATTAATTCATGGTAGTTTGATTGCACAGGTGTAGGTAATTCGCACACATATAACAAACATGTTTAATTGAAATGATTTCAAAATAAGCTTTCTCTCTATTTTATTGTCGGGAAGTTTTCAAAAATATTGGGAGATTTTCATCGTGTGTAAAATATGGTTTCTACTGAAAGTTTCAGTTTTTTTATAGTGATGTATTTTTCTGTCCTTTTGATTTTAGTTTTATGAAAGTAATCAATTTGTGAAGTCGATAAATTCTAATCGTTACAGAATTAAGTTATTCGGAATTATTCCTAAAATGACTGACTTTTTCTTATTCGTTTGCCAATTAGATACTGTATTTACAAAAGTTCCGTTTTCAAATTTTTCTTATCACATTACAAAACTTGAAAAAATACAGTTTGTCTTAATGTACAATAATATTTAACCTTTAATGATCGTGTTCATCAATAATATAACCGGCTCTCTTTATTTGTTTTGTTTTATCGAACTGAATCTATAACGTTCCGTTCCTGTTATGAATGCTTACTGTTAGAAATGCTATTTTATCCCGTTAAGAGCATAAATCCACTACAGGCGAAAAATCATCATAAAGACATGAATATGATTGCTCAGGATGTATATAATTTTCATTAATATCTGAAACCTTTAACTCGAATTTTCACTTGGTTACATTTATATTCCACATTGGTCATTGAAAAACAAAACGTTTATTGCTAAATTACAATTGTTTAGGCTAGAATTAGGTCCCATAGTTTCATAATTTATCGATAGATATTAACCATCAAGTTCATTTTGAAAAAGTAGTTTACCTAGACAATAGGACGTCTGGTTGTGGAAATACAAATCAATAATTATGGCAAACATTGTTTAGCCATAGAACTGTTCTTCATCTAGGGTTCGACATATTTTTCGCTTATCATTTGTTTGATATCGATTCACATTAAGAAAATTTTTACTTTTGGATTGCGGAATAGATTAATTTATGATTTTTAAGTAAAAATAGTCTTGATAATAATAGCGTAAACAAATAAATTTAATGTTTTGGAGCTGTGCAGAAACAGTTTATATAATATAAGCATTTTACTCACTATACTTTTGCAACATAAAACTAATTATCAATTACACTTTTATTGACCAAACTACTATTTAAAAAAAGTTTAGTAAAGGAAAGGGACGTAACAGTGACCACGCCTCAAGAAAAAATATTTATATCAGTTCTTGTCACACTTGGGTCATGTACTTGTCTTTTTTTAGTTTTGTCAATTTAAATAGTGCTTACCTGTCGCCTAGACTACTACTCGCTTATGACGTTTCATTTAAAATGGTAGAGAGCTATTGTTTTGCTTTATATTCCGTGATATTGAGGAAGAAACAGATTGCAGGCTGTTTTTGTTAGATCATATTTTCAGTTAATAAAATATTTCAGTGTTATTTTTTCAGTATTCATAATATGTTTAAATATATCTATCGTGTTTGACTTATGGCTAGTGAAGTGATTAAATTGATTTCAATTCATTTTTGTATTGTTTGTTTGAATCTTCGCATTGATGTTTAGGACTACAATTGATCAGTCTCTTATTGGCATACGTGCATCCTGTGCGGATTGCCTTGATACTGCCCTAAGTCATAAGCATTGCAAGTAATGCTTGTACTGGAGTGAATATCAGCTCTGGGATGCAGGTACACCCGGCTAACGAGTCCTAAATAGAACGAAACTCGCGCCACCATCCATCTTGGCTTAAATTGATTTCAGTTTTCGAAAATCATTTTTGTGTTAACCAAGTATTTTAATAGGCCCCAAACGCACTTTCTATTTACTTCATCAAAAAAATCAGCAGATGAAAAATACTTAGCTAGGCAAATGCTCTTAGGAGACGTTGAAGTTAATATATGTGATACATACAAGTTAAATATATTCCGAACTCTTTAGCTCTTAGGGTTTTATTTGGTTACTCAGTACTAACAAGTATAGACTTTAACGAAGCTTCTGTTGATAGCTTATAAACTCTTAATGACTATAGTCAGTATCTTGGTTTTTATGAATGATGTTGATGAATTAATAAATGGAGCACTTGGGTACATACTCCTCCACTTTGCTACCAAGCACGTTAAGTATTGGACGGAGTTTTATACTCTGAACTGGATGGTTTGGTTATGGAGCTTTCATTATTCTTCTGAACATCATTAGCACAAACTTCAGGTAAAAGTAAAGTGTTCGAATTTTTCCACATATGACTCACAGCTTGTCCTGTCGACCTCGATTTTAACTGGTTATTGTTTTGAGTGTATCACATTTGATTTGACTCTTGGTCCAATATTTGTCCATAATTTTTCTGATTGGTCAATAGATTAGATCGATTTCAATGTGCTTGTTAATTGCTGATTGACCTGAGTGCCAAGCTTCTGGTGCTTTTGGCTTTCTCTCTATCCAAAATCTGAATATTTTTCCAGTTGAATGTGTATCTACGGTTGTCCCCATGCATTGGTATAAGCAAAGATATGTCATGACTTTTGAGCGCTAATTGATGTTCATGCAGGTTAAGATGAAGGGAGTGTCCACTTTGTCCGATATAGCGTTTTCCGCAATTTGAACAGTTTACTTTGTAGATGATGTTTGGTTTTTCTTCTTTCGTCATTTCGTTCTTTGGTTTGCATAGGATTGATTGAAGTGGTTTTGCCGGTTTATTTGATACACCTATTCCAAACGGCTTCAATAATCTCGTAATTTCTGATATGTCTTCCATATAGGGTAGGATGATCCGTTTGTTGGTTTCGGTGTTTGATTTTGTTTCTGCTGATGAGTTGGGTTGATATTTCTTGGTGAGGTTGCGTAGGTAGCCGTTCTTTTGAAGGATAGTCATTAGATATTTTTCTTCATTTTCCCACCCTGCAACTTTTACCTGAAGTTTGTGCTGATGATGTTGTTCAGAAGAATAATGAAAATTCCACGACCGAACCATCCAGCTCAGAGAACAAAACTCCACCTAAATCATGCACCTGCGCTACAAACCTACTACACGTTAAGTACTATTTGTTAGTGTTATCCACTTTTGTCAATTTCGTTTAGTTGTTGGTGGCAACTACATGTTCACATAATTTTTCGGATGTCGATCTCCGTTTAGAGATAAATTTATGATCCACACAGATGAGTGTCTACTTCCATTTGTTGTTTATTGACTACTGTTAGATGATAATCATTACTTTTGTTTAGTAGTTTGGCACAATGAACCTTGAGTCAAATTTAGCGCTTAAAAAATGAACAAAATTTCAAACCTTGTTTATATTAAATCTAATTACTCTATTTTAAACTACTGGTTTATAATCAGAACTATCTCGTATATGGTGTTCTGTAGTAAGTAGCACGATGTAGGTTTTATACTCATTAGTTTCCGGATAATTTCTATTTTAGTTGTTTGTTTTGTTTTCAAAAAGCGAAAGGTCAGTGTTTGTGTGATGTTGACTGACATTCATCTGACAAAAACTGACTAAACCGTTTGTGTTTATCAAGAAGAATCGCTTGCAAGTTATGATTTTTATATAATCCTACGTATTAGTTGACAAAATTTTGCTTCAATTTCTTGTGTCTTAATTTATCATAATTTTGTGCTTCTTTTTGTTTACTTCCCTGTTAGTTGTCATAGTAATAGTTTTTCATCATTCACTCTGAATGAGCAGATTTCATGTAAACTTATCTTCATCCTGTAAAATATAGTTTGTAGGGTAACTAGTTGTTTCTCGTCATCTCCATTTTCGATGGGTATTCAGATGTTGCTGGCATAAAACATGTCACTTACTAATGTACAGCTGATTCATGTCCTAATACATGAATAGTTTTTCCGATTGATAATAAATATAGGGTAAGTGACTAATTCAAGTGACCTTTGTATATGTATTGTGGCAAAGACACCATTATGAAGTATATTGATCTTTGAAATAAGACTACCTTAAACGCAAATATAAAGCTGTGTCTTAAATGCTTATGTATCAAACTGTCGAATATCTGAGCTGTTGAATCTTTGTTCTTGCTCTTGTCAAGAATATTTTTAGGGTAGCAATCTTTTACTCTCAATTTTTTTGTGAATTTTCACATATTTATCTCAAACTTTAGTTAAAATACACTTTTAGCCTGTTGTTTGAGATAATGAAACAGTTATGACGTCACAAACTTAGCTGATTGTTTAGTACATACATATCTGCATATTTAAAATATATGGGTTTTCAATTCTTTTGTGAGTTATACACTTCCAAACCGTGTTGCTTCTTATCTCAACATTTGATACTAGTAGCTTGCGGACAAATAAGGTGCAAATGCAGTTATTTGTCTTGGAGTCTCCTTTTAAATATAAGATGATACTTCATAAGCGATCTGGATCGATACCTAATCTAATTATGTAAAGGGATGTAATTGACTTCATCTACCTTTCAAGCTAACTTAGAAACCTTATCAATAATAATAACAGACAGAACTTTGGTAGAAATGAGAAGACCTCGTTTGAATTTTACTGCCTTACACTACGTATATTATGGATTAGGTGTCCGCATGCCTTTCAAGGGGTGAGTATACTTTGCGAAATTTCTCTGTGTTAGCGGAACATAGACTGGATTAAAGCAAGCTCAATGCACAATTGCTTTGCTGCACGCTGATTGGCTAATTCTTATCCAATCAGAACTAGCCGTTAGTTGGAGAATACTCTAGAATCTTCTCAGGTAAAAACTATAAATATACTGACGTTTTTCCCTATTGTGCTTCTGACTTGCTTCTTACTTCCATCTAACCTTGTTATTTGGAATATAATCTCTTTCATGTTCAATCGTGTTATGATTTGGGGACTTGTCGAGTGAATCGGTGTCCGAGAATACTAAGCAGTAGGAATATCTGGGTCATCACCGTAAGTAAAGAGATTTATAACACTGTGTTACTTTATGACTGTATAGCATGACCTCTAGAAATAGAATACAGGGGTCGATTTCTAGTGTATGACCTCAAATGTCCTTGAAGGATTGTTCACTTATGTTAAAATTGCCGACTGAGTAATTTTAACATTAGCGTTAGAATACTAGACAACGATGGTATAAGTCTTAAGCCTTATCATTTCATACTTCTCAATCATTTTCTTTTCAACAATATTTTACACGTTTAGTTTCCATTTAAACTACAACAGCTATTTTTACCTCTTTTTCGTTTCATGTTCTTGGTTTCTACTCTGTGCCATTATTCTGTGGCAAATCAGGCAGATATATACTTAAGTTTATGTTTTTGATAACTAAGTGGATGGCTAACCATTATTAAATTCTGTTCGCTTGTTTCTTTTATACAACATCAAATTCACCCTCTTCTTGCTGAAATTTTCCACCCTGGAGATCCTTCATTTTCACCACAATCCATGATGCTTTCTCGATATTACTCCATTGGTTTTTTAATATGCTATTTTTCTGACTATTTTCAAGGATATTGTAAATTTATGTTTATACACAGCAGTTGCTTTTTTTGTCAGTATTCTTTGGTGCCTCAAATAAATTCTGTAGTGGAAGCTTGACTTCAATGTTAGCCGATAGTTAAGGAAGGGAATGAAGAGTTTTTTATGTCCATTGATCAAGGAAGTTGTAGTTAAAATTAATTCACTTTTATTATCAAACGAGTTTGGTAGATCATATTAGATAAATTTAAAGTGAACAGAAGGGAAATACTGGTTTGAGTTTTTTCAAACATTTCTGTTACTGCTGGAATTTTTTATACTGCGTAAAGTAGATAAGCACTATAACGCAGGTGTCAATTTAATTTGGAATGGGGATAATCTTTCTCATAAGTCAGTGCTATTTATTGCAAAACTTCACACCAACTTAAAGCAGTTTCTTATCTTTATTTTTTGTGTTACTACTTATTTATTATCTAGTATTGAATGTTAATTTATAATGTTGGTTTTTAAGCTTTTTATCCCCTTTTCAGCTTGTTTACCTGTCAGAAAATGAGGCGCAATAATTTTAACCTTAATTCCACTAGTATTTTTTGCGTACTCACTGGTATTTGAGATAGTGCTCAAGTTTTATTCTTCAGTAATATTTCTCATCACTCTATTCACATATAAGTTAGATGGTGTTTGGAGGTAGTCGACAGGAAACCCTGGACCCGGGTTTCGTGCTACTTGGCACTCATGACATTGATCACCACCCAGTGATCAATTAATTGTGACTTTTGGCGCATATTTTTCTCTCCTTTAGAAATATATTGTGAATCTCATATTGGTGTACCACATCTTTTCCTGATTTGTTTTTATCTATATGAAAACTCTAATTATTATTTTAACTCGCTCTAGTTGACTGCTTTTTATGATCCTAAATTGTTCTAGCTGTTAATCCTTTAATTTTCTCAAAATGTTATTCGACTTAAACGTTTCTTACCTCTGACTAGTTTTTCCCACTTGATATAAATACTTATAGATTCATTTTATGTTCTTGGCCATCTTGGTGATTCACTAATTCCTTCTTAGGTTTTTTCTTTTAATTTTATACGAAACTTATTGTGTTTCTAGCAGTCTTTATTTATTGGTAGTAACAAATGTAGTTGTTATGTACTACTTACATTTGTTGCTTCAAACCACTTCCTTAGATCTTGAAAATAAATGTATGGTATGGATTGCAAACTGAAGTTAGTTGTAGTTGATATTGGAACTGTTAGATTTTTTATTTGTGTGTCCATTGACTAAAACATCGATATTTTCAGTTAGAATAACTTTATATTTTAATAGCTAAATTACGAGAATATTTTTTATTTATTGGTTATTTTTCACAGCTTTTTCGTGAAGTTCGTGTTCTTAAAAGCTTGAATCATCCGAATATAAGTAAGTTATAAACTTTGTTTTGAAAATGTTTGGTTTAATTAATTTAATTTAATGTAAGATTAGAAAACTAAGTATTGGTTCGTGTAGATAAATGATATCTACTAACCTGCTGCTGCCTTAACTAAGCTGGAAGTTGTGCCAGGAGACCCAGTAGTACATGATTGTTGAGCATTTGAACCTATCAATCTCTGTTTCCCATTATTTAGTATAATTTTTAATGTATCATTTCATGTTGAGTTAGTTTGTCATCCCTAGTTTTGTTTTTTATTTTATGACTCGTTTTTTCTTTAGTTATTACCTGATAATGATGTCTTCTATAATTCCTGTGGTTTTCTCATTAAGATACAATTAATATTTGCGAATTATTTTTGTAGGCCTATAAATTATGGTGTCTATATTGTATTATCCATGATCTAATGAGAAGTAATTTGTACGTAAATTTATAGAATATAATAATTGTAAATCACAAAATCCAGTAACAAGAATAATCAGTTCTTTACTTGACGATTTGGATTATAGTTTGCTCCTCATAGAGAATAAATTGAAGCAAATTGTTTGTTGATTTTCGTTATCATTGATTTTCCTACAGTTGATCTTAGAAAATAAATTGCATGCATCACAATCTGAACTTCATTCTGTTTCTGTACTGTGATTTTTTATAGAATGAACTTAAAAGATTCCTCAATTATTTGTCGTTTGCAAGATGGTTTATTCTTTTACAATATATTCAATTAACACATTCTATTCTTTACTTATATATATATATACCTATTTTCTTCCTGACTTTTTTTTACGTGCCAATTAATTTTTATTTGCACGAATGTACTAATTAACTGTTGCATGTGAGATTTAAAAAATTCCCATCGGTGGAAAAATGTATTAGGTCATGTGATAATATATTGTATTCAAGTTTTATAACACTGCCCTTATCTATTTATTATCCTTATTTTTCATCGTGGAGACGGTTAATTAATAGATATAACTTAAATTTTGTCTTGATATTTAGCTTCGTGTTTTTGTAATGACAACTTGTAAATATTGATTCAGCCTGATAAAAGCAAAGAAATTCTTGGATAAATAAATCCTAATTTGTGTTTATGATAATCACAATAATCTTAGTTATTCGAACTTGTTAACTGTTTCACGTTCAAATTATAGTTTTTAAGTTGGATGTGGCTCATGTTCTGTCTTCTAGTATCGGTCGCTTTCAAATTCCGTTAAACTATGTTTAACAACTTTTGACAAAATTGTACCATACCACTGTATTTCTGTTGCATTTCGTTTGTCTTAGCACTTATATGCTTCTAATGTAGTTAATCTTTATTGGTCTGATTTCGTATGCTAAAATGTGTAGTTTTGTAGGTACTTCTTTGATTTGTGCATAAGAAATCGGTAGCATTTCCAACGTTTTATTAAGGAAATGGGCAATACTATAGGATACCAGTGACCGTGAAAGTAACATTGCAGAGTTACAGTTATTAACCTGTCAGATTGAAGGTTATATAACTGGTTTATTTATTACAGAAATGTAACACCAATATAAAAATCAAATCACTTTCTCTTTCAGTATGGGTCGACTTGTACTATGTCATGAATCACACCTGACTTGTAATTATCGTTACAGATACAGTATACTGGTGTTCATCGTAATTTGGTTTCCACATCATGTCGTATTCACTGTATGGTTACTCGATAGGTATGTTTATCAGTTTTAAGCGTCTTGAGAAATAAATATGGGCAAGTATCTCCTAGCTCTTAATAGGGTACAGTCTCGCTATCATGACGCTTTAAATTTCGTTTGGAAATCGAACCGTCACTACGTTGAATTTGATTGACTTATTAATATGGTATAGTTTTCTGAAATAACATTTTTTTTTCAAATTACACCAAATTAAGAGTTGCATTAAAAAGCTTTTTTAATTAAATTTTTACAAACAGTTGTCTGTGTTGGTATTTCACTGACAATCTATTAAGTACACTAAACGTAGTGAAGTCCAAGTGTTTTTACTTATCCTACATATATCGTTCTACAGTTCTTAGTTTCTACATTAAATAGTCCGTTTCTAGAAACTTCGATTACTATGACTTATTTTTAGATCATAAATTTTCTCGACTATGTTTCATTATCTCTACCGTACTTGTAGGTCAAGTTCTCTAGTGTTCTACAACTGATTAATTGTTTCCACTAACTACGCTATTGTGCTAGTAAAAATTCAATGTGACAGAGTTCCAACCAGTAATCTGATACTGAGTTTTTGATCAGTTTATTTCGTGTATCGTAACTCAAATAAAATCGAATCAATAATAAATGTAGACGTTTACGACAACTCATCTGGTTCCCTTTCTCTACGAGTCGAAACTTGTTAAAAAATAATACAGATTATAGTGATAATCCATAAACCTACTTTTTCATGTCATTATGGAACAAATCACATATGAAGTACGGTCTTATCATAAGTTTAGTTCCTTCCTGATTCTTACTGGTCATTCGTATCATACGTATGGGTTTTACTACAGAACTTGTCGTGCATTTATACACTAACTGAATTGTCAAATGTTCATTTGATGGTGTTTCCCAGGGGCTGATTGTCATAGTAGTAATTATTATTGTGAATTATTGTAGTTTCTATCTGTAAAGTTCTTCATTTGGATTGAGAAACGCATTTGGTGAATAGATCAGCTTAGGCGGTGAGATAAAGTGGTAGCTTATATGTATATTTATTTGGTAAAAATGCGACATTGAAATTCAAAGTTACACTACTAAAGTCGTGACAGTATATTTTTGATGAATTCAGTTTTTTTAATCTAATTGTCAAAATCAATTAGTTGCAAGGTATTGTTTTCAAGGCGAACATGATATTTACATTGGTCAAACAAATAAATGACCTTATAAGGTAGTTGATGTATGTTGTAAAAATATGCGTAGTTTTCAAATCGATAGTTCACATAGGATACATTGATACAGAACATTTCATATCTATCTCTCTGTACGCTAAAATTTCCTTAATACGCACAGTATTAATCATTTTTCTGCCCACGATTATTCTTATTCACCTACCCACTCATTATAACCGATTGTTTATTATCACCTTGTGAACAGCTGTATAGTTAATTTTGTTTGAAAGTATAATTAAAAAAAGCAAAGTTCCTTTCTATTTGTTTTTCTTCCCTTCACTAAAAGAAAAAAGATTTAAAGTGACATTTTCCTAACTGTTGACATGCCATTAATTTACTTGCCATTATTTATCGGTTTTCGGGCTTTGAATCTTTCACTTCCTCGTCTTCATCCCCTGACTGATACATACACTTTTTTTGCTAATGCTGACCTCATTGTCCTTATTTGTTCTCAATTCAGTTAATTATTTAACATTTCATTATCAAGCCCCCTTATTAACCTAGTTTTATTTCATTGTTAGCGATGTTTGATTTCTCGTTTTTTCCAGTAGGAAAACTCAAAAAAATCGACTGAATATATATATATATATATATATATAGTCCCTTTTTTCTTGGCTACGTTGAGATATTCTTTTGCTTCGTTTCTGTAGTTTGGGTGGTGATATTTTTGTCTGTTTGTAACTTTTTTTATGCGTAATTATTCTCTGTTCGAGTTACGTATGAACTTTTACTCAAAAATTATGTGTTCGATTAGTTTATTACTAGTGGATTAACAGTTACTGCGCTTGATGTTCAACCGTTGTCATAAGTTCAGATCTCTCTCCTTCTGCTCCTGTTTGGACATCTGGATAGTACCATTAACCCTCGCAATAAAAAATAACAAGTCTGGTTCAGACCCAGTTATGTGCACATATGCAAACAAATATTTGTGTTTATTCACGTTTAGGCATGTCGACGTGCATCGCTGTTAACTACTTCTTTTATGTACTTTGCCTAACAACGCAATTCTCAATAACAATCCTGTGTCGAACACAAGAATTTACGCAAAAATATTTTTCAGTCAAAATTAAACTATACCCTTAGTGGCTTTTGACCTAGGCCGCGACAATTGGAAGGATAAAACAGAAGTTACCAATTCAGCCAACTATGATACGAAAAAAATATGTAAATATTTATTTAATTCTTAGGATGTTCTTGAAAATCAGCAATCTGAATTACTCTTTTCAATAGAATTGAACTCAGCTTCTCCCGTGCCAATAAAAATGTGGAGTCGTAATCGAAAATCTAACTTTTTTCGATTTGTGTCGACTTTTTAGGAAATAGTGTGATTTCCAGTTAAACTTGTTGACGTAACGGCAATCGGTATACCTAATGACCCTGAATTTCGATTCAACCATCACTAGGTTTTAAGGAAATTAAAATGCACTGAGTAAAATTGTCAATCGTTGATTTTTACTTTAAATGACTGTCAACTTAATACTGGTTTATTAAAATAGGAATTTTCTAGTAATTTTGCACAGGTTCAAAGTTATTTTCTTGATGAAGTAAAGTTGTATGGATGATCTTAAAAAATTAGTGAAAAAATGCTGGACAATTGTTTTATCCTAGTTTTTGACGCCTCTTCAATAGTATGCTCTTATGATTCCTTACTGAATTAAACACAACTTTATTAACTTTCATCCTAATGAATCAGAATTTAATTGTTCACATTTTTTTCTCGTTTACATAGATTTGTAAAATTAGATCTATTCACCAGGGTTGTGGAGATTGAATTTATATTGAGTTCATGAACCGATTAATGCTAGACGATCGTTGAAAACCTCGAAGCGCTGAGCAGTTGTTTCCTTCTAGTATGTCACTCCTCAGCAGTTAGCATCCACGATCCCTCATGCGGGATTCGAATCCAGGACTTTTGGTCTCGCGCGGACACCTAACCCCTAGGTTCTGTGTTCGAGTTTTGGTTGGTGGTCTAACGTTGATCAGTTCATCATCTCAATAGATCGATTTACATTAAGTCGTCATTAATTTAATTTTAAGTCTTCAAATCGATTAACTTAAAAGATCACCACGAATATGTATTCACTATTAATTACAAAGTTGTTATC